GCAGTGGAGCCATTGCAGCCACGGGGATGTCCACAGACTCCCCAATACTGTCGCTGTCTTTGCCCGACAGCTCATCTTGCCGTCTTTTCATCCACCTTTGGTTCAGCTCCTCCTGAATCTCACCTGTAATGATGTCCATGAGAGCTTTGCGCTCTGTCAGCTCCTCCTGAAGTAGCAGGACCTCGTCGCACCTGAGCGCGTACTCCTCAAACTGTGCGATTGCCTCTGCTGAACACGGAACGTCCTCTGTTGGATCAGCCTTCGCGCTCGACTCCACCATGTATGTGTCCTGCACATAATTGATACCATGCCTCTTAATTCTGTCAAAGTGCACTTTTGCCTCATACCTCTCTATATCCCTATCTAATTCTTTGATCCTTTTGATCTGCTGGCGGATGGTGTGATCTTGCGATATAACCAAGTGCACCAACGTTTCCATTTTCTCCACTGAGGATGTGTCCTTAGGAACAGTCTCCTCTTTCTTTTTGTTAATTTTGTCCAACTTTCTAAAAGCTTTTCGAACAATCCTCCGCTGCTTTTCTTGCGAGAAAGCCATTGTGGTCTTGGCTGCTCCCTTGAATACGCACGGACTGTCTTTGCTCTGAACGACCCGCGCCTCGGCGCTCCTGGGTCCATTGTTCGGTAACGATGCCTCATTCTTCACCAACACAAACCTCACGTTTTCCTGCTCATCTCCCCAGGCGCTCCAGAGACGCAGGATTTTGGTTTTATTGGGTAAAATCCTCTCAAAGCCTCTCCATTTCTCCACTATGCAGTAAGACTGGGGGGTCCCGGATAGCATCACCGCTGACGCACCTTGCTGCAAGTTTTGGTCCTCCAGTAGAACTTTGACAACATCGGCGCAGGTGGTGCGCTTGGACAGCCCGGAGACCAGCTTCTCCTCCCGGCAGACCCATACTGATACCTTGCATTCTTCCTGCTCCATACTGGAAAAACCTCCAACCTAACTGCTGATTAAAGTTTCTGCTTCCCCTTTCGACTCCTCGGTTTCACTTTTCAGTTGTAGAGAGAAAAGTGACACACACCTTCATTTGGAGCTGGCCTTATTCTCATGTAGGCATGTCATCATCATGAAGTAATAAGCGCAGTACTTCCCTCCAGTAGGACTATTCCCATGGCAGACTGAGTGAGGCACGCTGTGAAGTTGTTCTGCTGGGGGATCACATTATCCCCGCAGACTTCCGTTTTGGAACACTGTGCGCAGAGGAGGAACGGGCGTCCTTCCTTTCGGTCGGCATGCACTGCTGTGGGTACATTTCTATGCAAACACTAAAGTATACGCCCTCTGCTCGCAATGGGACTCTCTCCAGTCTCCGTTGATCACATGACACTACAACTCTACTCCAAACAGAAGTTTCTGAATGTAACATTACCTGCCCACTTTGTGCGCATTTTACGCATCAGTTTGCCTACTGTACTTTGGTCAAAACTACCATCATTCTCATGTGAAAGAAGAAAAAGTGAACACATTTTAAAGTGAGTGTGTATACGTTATTAAATGAATTCAAGTGAAACTTTCCAATTAAACTATATAAATATGCTGATGTCTCAAGCTTATTCATTTACAAGGCCTTTTATTAGTTTATGTTGATGCACATAAAGAAAAGGGTCAGTCAGGGGCCCCCTTATTTCACTCCATTACTTCACAGTTTGAAGACTTCTGATCTGGTATTCTATAGAAACAACAAAGCAAGCAAAATAAAATAAAAATATGAATGGAGCTGCTAAGAACGATAATTTACCTCTGCCCTGTATAACACCCCAACCAAACCACTTCCGCAAAGACATATGAACAAAAAAACAATATTTTCATAAAACAAGGATTTGTCTGTGATTATTGCAGAGGTCTTTAGTGCATGGGGATTGTTATCTTGACAGAATCACAGCTCCTCATTTGTCCCTGCCGGTGTAACCTCCTGTGACCCTGACAGTTGATGACAGGCCAAGTTTGTTGGTGAAACACTACATAAAACCCCAGGCTGGAGGTTCTAATCATGTCAGGCAGGGTATTCTCCAACATCAACATAGCCAGGAAATGTATTCAAAGAGGATTGCCATATCCAGGCTGAAGAAAAAAAAAAATTGGAGTTACTATTCATTCTCATGTGAGTGAACAGGTCAAAAGTATCGCAGGTTGCTAAGTCCGATTCTTTTGGATAGAGCTCCCCCTGCTGTGCATTAGGAGTATTGTATCGTTCCAGCCATAGAGGTAATATTACAATAATTCATTTGAGAGCAATTCATTGACGTTTGTGAGAAATTAAATTGATTAATCATCATTCAGAAACAGAATTGACCATTTATTTTTAATTGGATATTATATGCATACCAAGTTTTCTAGAAAGCTATAAAATATCTAACATTTTAGAATTTGAAGAAAAAGTTACAAAGCAAAGACCAGACCCTGTGCAGTAACAACACATGTATTGTCAGTTTCTCTTTCCATGTTCTCGTCTCTTTATACAAATCACCTTTAACAATTCTCTGCACACAATGTTCTGAAGATGCCATCCAAACTTGAGAAAAATTAAAGCCAATTTTTTTTAAATAGATAAGACAAGAAAGTACCAGTACCTATAGACAAAGAACACACAACCCAGATCTTAGCTGCTGATGTTAGTCAAAAATACTCCTTGTGTCCATTTTAAATTAACAATATTTTCCAAAGACTTATCGTGTGAACTCTATATTCCTGGTTGACAGGACAGACATACTGGGAGCCCAGCAGTGAAACCAACAGGCTTGGCTCTGGTTCAACTGGAGTCATCACAAAAGCATTGTAAAGTATAGCCTACATAGAGCACATTCAAACAGAAACTACTGTAATGGTGGTCTGTGTTGTTCACACCATAATCTAGTCCCAATTATTAATAAGTTAAAACACAGGTCAAAGGTCTTCTAAACGTGACATGAACCCTGCCTGATTCCATTGTCTTCAGCAACACTAACATACAAGTATACTGCATTATGTTTTATGGACTGTAATGTTATTGTGTGCATATGGTATGATAACACAGTTGATCTACTGTGACAGTGATATGAAATAAACCTTCGCAGAGAGATCTTGTGACCCATAACTATTGAAAACACTGAACATGCATCTAAGGGTACAATCTTTTCCCAAATAGTCTAATTCTTGTGGTAATGAATACAGTTCTACAGAGAAACACATTGGAAAAGGCATTCTGGTGATCTCGTCCGCCATTTCTTTAACTTTTTGGTTTTGCTTCTTTTAAACCTTTTCTAAGCTGTAAAGTCATGACCAAAGGCACTTTATAATATAGTGCAGGGGACAAATGCACATCTGACATGTCTCCAGATTTTTGGTTTTTGATAGACAAGGCAAAGTTATTACTGCTATTACGCATGGAACTTGTTTATTGTAATAATCAATGTATAACTTACCATAATTATTTTGTAAAACAAGGTGAAATGTGTACATGTAAAACTGACAGTTGTATCTTTAATGACCGACATGATTCATCACAAATGTCATGCATTTCGATCCAAACAAACCAGGTGCCATTGGGGAAAAGTTGCTCACCAAGGCACAGTACATGCAACACTGGGATGTATGAAAATAAGAGGGCTGTCCTCCAGTTTAGGAAAGAGCTCACATTTTGAGTGGTAGAGTTATAGTATGTGTAAGGATCCCATTCCCTACCACCAAAGCTAAAGATGCAATCCGCAGTAGGGGAAACAGCGCCACTGTCCGCCCCACGGCAGTTATTGTTTTTGTTTTGTTGACAAAGTGGTGGTGGTGGGGGTGGGGGGGGGTTAACTTAGTTGTTTGCAGTACATTTGTTGTTGTAATATCGCAAACAGACGTGGCAGTTCCACCATTAACGAGTCCAGCTTTAAGGCGCCCGGAAGTGTAGGCCACAGATTGATGGGCAAAATAAGGCTGAATAGCATCCAGAACCAAGAAAACCCAAAGATTATTGTATGGGAGTGTTTTGACTACTGTGTTCCTCAGTCACTGAGCAGTAAAGTTTCAGTCACTAAAAAGAGAGGGTTTATTCAACAAGTTAACTCTACCCCGCATAACCATACAGCGGAACTAAGTGCTTTGGGATGGGTAACTATGGTAGTACAGTGCTTTCATTTTCAATATGTGTATTCTTTGCTTCATTGTCATACGGGGTAAAACCTTAGCAGCTTAGAGAAAAGATAACTTAGGAGGAATCTCTGGTCTCTGCCATGCATTGTCTTGCTGTAGTGTCATCAGTGCTTTTTCTCTTTAGTTGGGCACAGGGGATCTGATGCAGAGAGCTGTGTTGCAAAGTGGTACCTGAATTTGCTTATCTTATTTATAGTTTCAGTGTCCCTGGAATTGTAACCGTAACCTGTCTTCATCATACAGTAGTTTAGCATTTGCTATGTTATCCAAAATGTACAAAATGTAAAACCTTTTTTCTTTGGAAAATGTTTGTGTGATAGTAATGTTCACACAATTACATGTATGTAGTAACTGTTTGTATAGTTTTTATATTTATCTAATTAAGAAAGGCTATTATAATCTGTAATTGGTTCATTTTGGTGATGACTACAGTATAAAATGCAGAAAACGGATAGCTTCCAAATGTAATCCACAGAACATCTTCCTATGTTACGCAATGCCCCTTCATATGTACACCACAGATATGACCTAGTCTGGAAAAATGACACTACACAACTGTACACTGACAGCTGCACTCATACAAATAATGATAGTATCCATTAGAAACTTGACCCCAATGTAACCCAAGGACATTGTGTAGAGGCACAGCCACTTTCCATAAAGTTGTCAGTCTTTCTGAAGGCATGATTCACTGGGCGGTTGCCTCATGTCTTTCCCACAACCAGCCAATCACAACAGTGATTTATCTCTGTCAATACTCAGGATTCGTCCTTCAATGTCTTCCCTCCATCCTTCATAAGCTGTCCTTCAGGTAGATCGGTGATAGTTTGTCCCAGCATGTTTCCACTGAGTCAGTCTCTTATTCTTTGACTAGCCGGTAGATGTGATGTTGAGCTCCGTGTTCGCTGTTCGACACCTCAAACACACAAGCCATGCACAGCAGCGTCTCCTGTGTTTCTCTGTTGGTCATCACCTGAAACACAAGAGAAATGCAGTGTGACACACACACAAGTATACAAACTGACTGATGACTGAACAGGATATCCTTACCAATAGGATGGTGAAGTTCTCTAGGACACTGTTCATCATGTACTTCTCAGGCAGGTGTTTGAGTTTGTGGATAAAGTTGATCATGTATTCACACATGGGGGAGCGGCTTATCCTGTAGACAAAGCGTCCATTCTCGAAGCAGGCATATTCAGTCTGAGGGGGAGAGAGAGAGAGATCACTGAGTACAGCTCTTCACAAGAAAACAAATAAGTGGAGGGAACAATGTCCACCATGATCAAAAAGGAGGTAACACACAGCAATTGTGAGAAACACAAATATAAAAGTAGGTAAGGATTGTGAGTCATTTATGTGGTTTTATAGTTGCGTCCCCACCAAGCACACAGTGGTGTGTGTGACTAAGACCTGGATTCACTCCGTATTTCGGAAGATACACGTTCAAATTTGCTGACTTATGCAGCGTTTACCCGTGAACGCGGAACATTCCCTTTAAATTTCAATCGAAGCTATAACGCGGATCTTCAGCTTTACAGCGTGATTTAAACTTTTAGGCAATGTTCCCGCTTTAGCATAGACTGCATTCAGGGTAAACGCTGCATATGTCGTCTCAATCGGAAACTACCTTAACATTTCTATCGCGGAATCCGTAACGCTTCAGCTTTCCAGATTGAATAGAGCCCTAGGACTCACCTCCACCTTCTCAACCACCTGCTTGCCGAAGGAGCACACCTTGGTGGAGCAGGTGATGGTCATGTTCTCAGAGCTCTCATACTGGCTGCTCACACCGTAGAAGGCCCCAGAGTCTTCCTGGATGTTACAGTTCAGGTCAGCCTGCATCAGGACAACACAACAGCACATGAAGAGGATCAACTAGATAGTCAAACAAATGTTGACCAACACCAGCTAAAGTAAAACACATGATGAAAATGTTTAAATAAATTGACTTTCTTTAAGAGAACTAATATAACTTATATATACAGTGGGGGAAAAAAGTATTTAGTCAGCCACCAATTGTGCAAGTTCTCCCACTTAAAAAGATGAGAGAGGCCTGTAATTTTCATCATAGGTACACGTCAACTATGACAGACAAAATGAGAAAAAAAATCCAGAAAATCACATTGTAGGATTTTTTATGAATTTATTTGCAAATTATGGTGGAAAATAAGTATTTGGTCACCTACAAACAAGCAAGATTTCTGGCTCTCACAGACCTGTAACTTCTTCTTTAAGAGGCTCCTCTGTCCTCCACTCGTTACCTGTATTAATGGCACCTGTTTGAACTTGTTATCAGTATAAAAGACACCTGTCCACAACCTCAAACAGTCACACTCCAAACTCTACTATGGCCAAGACCAAAGAGCTGTCAAAGGACACCAGAAACAAAATTGTAGACCTGCACCAGGCTGGGAAGACTGAATCTGCAATAGGTAAGCAGCTTGGTTTGAAGAAATCAACTGTGGGAGCAATTATTAGGAAATGGAAGACATACAAGACATACATTTACATTTACATTTTAGTCATTTAGCAGACGCTCTTATCCAGAGCGACTTACAGTTAGTGAATACATGTATTTATTTATTTTTATACTGGCCCCCCGTGGGAATCGAACCCACAACCCTGGCGTTGCAAACGCCATGCTCTATCAACTGAGCTACATCCCTGCCGGCCATTCCTTCCCCTACCCTGGACGACGCTGGGCCAATTGTGCGCCGCCCATGAGTCTCCCGGTCGAGGCCGGCTGCGACAGAGCCTGGATTCGAACCAGGATCTCTAGTGGCACAGTTAGCACTGCGATGCAGTGCCTTAGACCACTGCGCCACTCAGGACACGATAATCTCCCTCGATCTGGGGCTCCACGCAAGAGCTCACCCCGTGGGGTCAAAATGATCACAAGAACGGTGAGCAAAAATCCCAGAACCACACGGGGGGACCTAGTGAATGACCTGCAGAGAGCTGGGACCAAAGTAACAAAGCCTACCATCAGTAACACACTACGCCGCCAGGGACTCAAATCCTGCAGTGCAAGACGTGTCCCCCTGCTTAAGCCAGTACATGTCCAGGCCCGTCTGAAGTTTGCTAGAGTGCATTTGGATGATCCAGAAGAGGATTGGGAGAATGTCATATGGTCAGATGAAACCAAAATAGAACTTTTTGGTAAAAACTCAACTCGTCGTGTTTGGAGGACAAAGAATGCTGAGTTGCATCCAAAGAACACCATACCTACTGTGAAGCATGGGGGTGGAAACATCATGCTTTGGGGCTGTTTTTCTGCAAAGGGACCAGGACGACTGATCCGTGTAAAGGAAAGAATGAATGGGGCCATGTATCGTGAGACTTTGAGTGAAAACCTCCTTCCATCAGCAAGGGCATTGAAGATGAAACGTGGCTGGGTCTTTCAGCATGACAATGATCCCAAACACACCGCCCGGGCAACGAAGGAGTGGCTTCGTAAGAAGCATTTCAAGGTCCTGGAGTGGCCTAGCCAGTCTCCAGATCTCAACCCCATAGAAAATCTTTGGAGGGAGTTGAAAGTCTGTGTTGCCCAGCGACAGCCCCAAAACATCACTGCTCTAGAGGAGATCTGCATGGAGGAATGGGCCAAAATACCAGCAACAGTGTGTGAAAACCTTGTGAAGACTTACAGAAAACGTTTGACCTGTGTCATTGCCAACAAAGGGTATATAACAAAGTATTGAGAAACTTTTGTTATTGACCAAATACTTATTTTCCACCATAATTTGCAAATAAAAATCATAAAAAATCCTACAATGTGATTTTCAGGAATTTTTTTCTCTCAATTTGTCTTTCATAGTTGACGTGTACCTATGATGAAAATTACAGGCCTCTCTCATCTTTTTAAGTGGGAGAACTTGCACAATTGGTGGCTGACTAAATACTTTTTCCCCCCCACTGTATGTATGTATGTATGTATATATATATATATATATATATATATATATATATATATTACACACACACACACACACACACACACACACACACACACACACACACACACATATATATATATAAATTTGAAGTCGGAAGTTTACATACACCTTAGCCAAATACATTTAAACTTAGTTTTTCACAATTCCTGACATTTAATCCTAGTAAAAATGCCCTGTCTTAGGTCAGTTAGGATCACCACTTTATTTTAAGAATGTGAAATGTCAGAATAATAGTAGAGAGAATGATTTATTTCAGCTTTTATTTCTTTCATCACATTCCCAGTGGGTGAGAAGTTTACATACACTCAATTAGTATTTGGTAGCATTGCCTTTAAATTGTTTAACTTGGGTCAAACGTTTCGGGTAGCCTTCCACAAGCTTCCCACAATAAGTGGGGTGAATTTTGGCCCATTCCTCCTGACAGAGCTTGTGTAACTGAGTCAGGTTTGTAGGCCTCCTTGCTCGCACACGCTTTTTCAGTTCGGCCCACATATGTTCTATAGGATTGAGGTCAGGGCTTTGTGATGGCCACTCCAATACCTTGACTTTGTTGTCCTTAAGCCATTTTGCCACAACGTTGGAAGTATGCTTGGGGTCATTGTCCATTTGGAAGAACCATTTGCGACCAAGCTTTAACTTCCTGACTGATGTCTTGAGATGTTGCTTCAAAAATCCACATAATTTTCTTTCCTCATGATGCCATCTATTTTGTGAAGTGCACCAGTCCCTCCTGCAGCAAAGCACCCCCACAGCATGATGCTGCCACCCCCGTGCTTCACTGTTGGGATGGTGTTCTTCGGCTTGCAAGCTGCCCCCCTTTTTCCTCCAAACATAACGATGGTCATTATGGCCAACTCCATGCCCAAGAGGGTTAAGGCAGTGCTGGAAAATGATGGTGGCCACACAAAATATTGACACTTTGGGCCCAATTTGGACATTTTCACTTAGGGGTGTACTCACTTTTGTTGCCAGCGGTTTAGACATTAATGGCTGAGTGTTGAGTTATTTTGAGGGGACAGCAAATTTACACTGTTATACAAGCTGTACACTCACTACTTTACATTGTAGCAAAGTGTCATTTCTTCAGTGTTGTCACATGAAAAGATATACTCAAATATTTACAAAAATGTGAGGGGTGTACTCGCTTTTGTGAGATACTGTATATATATATATATATATATATATACACACACACACAGTATCTCACAAAAGTATGTATGTGTATCTATTTGTGTGTGTGTGTGTGTGTGTATCTATTTGTGTGTGTGTATGTCTGTGTATATATATATATATATATATATATATATATATATATATATATATATATATACACACACAAATAGATACACATACATACAATTCATTTTCCTTTATTACTTTCCAATTCCACCACGCCTCCCCTAATTGGAGTAAACTAGTGAACAACAACGCTTAGGCCTCTACTTCTAGCTTATACATACTATATACATTTTACGGACAGTCAATTTTACAATAATTCAATTTTGTTTGTTTTTACTCCTGAACTTCCTCTACCCTCAACCTCTCCGATCATTTTCATGATGTCCATCCGGTTTGCTTCTATATGCCATATCTTTCTAACTGTGCTCTACTATAACCCAATAGGCAGCCCGCTGGTGATCTTATTTGGCCCCCCATGTTTTCTATAAAAAAAATGTTAAAAAAAAAATCATGACTGTAAAAACGCGAGCAAATCAGCTCCAAGTGATTTTAATTTTGGAAATCTGTTCCAAAGTATTCCCATGCATAGAGAGAGAAACACTCAGCGGCCAGTTTATTAGGTACACCACCCTGTTCAAGAAAATGTGACCGTGGCTTGCTATATAAAGCAGGCAGAGGCATTCAGTTACTGTTGGATTGAATGTTAAAATGGACAAAACTAGTGACCTAAGGGACTTTGTGAGTGGTATGAGCGTCGGTGCCAGGCGCGCCGGATCCAGTATCTCAGAAACGTCCGCCCTCCTGGGCTTTTCACGCATGACAGTGTCTAGGGTTTACCGAGAATGGTGCGACAAACAAAAAAGCATCCAGTCAGCGGCAATCCTGTGGGCAAACACGTGTTGATGAGAAGTCGAAGGAGAATGGCAAGGATCGGGCAAGCTAACATGCGGCCCACAAACAACAGCGCTGTACAACAGCATCTCGGAGTGCACAAGTTGTCGGTCCTCGTCACAGATGGGCTATTGCAGCAGACGACCACACAAGTTTCCACTCCTATCAGCTAAAAACAAGAAGAAGCGGCTCCAGTGGACACGCGATTTCCTCCAGTGGGCACGCGATTGCCAACACTGGACAATTGAAGAGTGGACAAACGTCGCCTGGTCAGACAAATCCCGGTTCCTGTTGCGTCATGCTGATGGCAGAGTCAGGATTTGGCATAAGCAACATGACTCCATGGCCCCATCCTGCCTGGTATCAACGGTACAGGCAGGTGGCGGTGGTGTAATGGTATGGGGAATGTTTTCCTGGCACACTTTAGGTCCCCTGATACCAGTGGCAGTCAGTGACGTTTAAGATGAGGGAGGATGATACTCCTGAGTGGCGCAGTGGTCTAAGGCACTGCATCGCAGTGCTAACTGTGCCACTAGAGATCCTGGTTCGAATCCAGGCTCTGTCGCAGCCGGCCGCGACCGGGAGACTCATGGGCGGCGCACAATTGGCCCAGCGTCGTCCAGGGTAGGGGAGGGAATGGCCGGCAGGGATGTAGTCAGTTGATAGAGCATGGCGTTTGCAACGCCAGGGTTGTGGGTTCGATTCCCACGGGGGGCCAGTATAAAAAAAAATAATGTATTCACTAACTGTAAGTCGCTCTGGATAAGAGCGTCTGCTAAATGACATAAATGTAAATGTAATGATAATTGTTATTATGAGCATGGCCTTATTTGTATTGCAGCATATTGGATGACGGTCATTCATATTCCATTCACCCAGCTTAATATAACGTCGATAGGTTTAGGCTACTACAAGATACACACATTTTCCTTATACCCATCATGGAGGTTGCTACAACCTAGTCTATGAATGAAAGTTCACAATGTGAGAGAAAAATTTGACTAATCAAGGTGACAGAGTGACACATTCAATACCGCCTTGCACACTCTTGCCTGCATCTAGCTAATCTAGGGTGTTTCATTAGTCCAACAGTTGTAAACAAGAGTTTCTATTGGACAAATTCAGGTATGTTTATCCCCGTTTTCGTTCCGTTTTGAGAAATGTTTTTCAACAGAATCGGTGGAATTAATACACCCCTGATCACACGCAAACACAGTTCACTTTCATAGTAGCCACACACAAACAGCATGATCCTTTTGATCGTTATATAATTCCTTCTCGCATCTACACGCTCTCCTCCTCTCACCTTTTCCCTTCACTTGTGGACGTCAGTGCACAACACATCAGATGTCTGTGACCAGGCAAAAAAAACTTTACAAGCCAAACCTTCATATCATAACCGCTAACCGCTACACACAGCCTACATCATTGTCACCATATTAGCTAACGTCATAGTCAACATAGCTACTAGTTAGTAAACCCGCTACAATCATGCAGTACAGTCAGCAAGCAGTTTAGCAGTTACACCGGCGGGCCCCAGCGGCAATACATTTATAAAACCAAAAGCTTACTTTGACTTGGAAGAGTTCCAGTGTTGGGTAGCCATAGTCAGCTAGCAAATATTCAGTACCTTAGGAAACTATTCAGACCCCTTGACTTTTTCCACATTTTGTTACGTTACAGCCTTATTCTAAAATTGATTAAATAAATAAAAATCCTCAGCAATCTACACACAATACCCCATAATGACAAAGCGAAAACTGGTTTTTATGAATTTTGTTCAAATAGTCTTTCATTGAGTCAACTACTACATTTTATGCAATGCAGTGTTAGCTAGCTGTAGCTTATGCTTTCATTCTCTGATCCTTTGATTCGATGGACAACATGTCAGTTCATGCTGCAAGAGCTCTGATAGGTAGGCGGACGTCCTCCGGAAGTTGTAATAATTACTGTGTAAGTCTATGGAAGGGGGTGAGAACCATGAGCCTCCTTCGTTTTGGAGGATGGAAACTAGCTGCTCTCCGGCTCCACAATGGTGCTACCCTACAGAGTGTTGTTGATGATACTGTAGACAGACCTTCATTGCAAAACAGCGTTTTAATCAATTATTTGGTGACATGTGAATATATTTAGTATAGTTTTATGTTTCACTATTTCTATTTTTCTGAAATTCACTGAGGAGGATGGTCCTCCCCGACCTCCTCTAAGGAGCCTCCACTGCTTGATATCAATGGGGCAACGTTTCCATGCCCCGAAAAATTCAGTCTGTTCTAGAGGCAAAGGGAGGTCCGACCCAGTACTAGATGGGTGTACCTAATAAATTGGCGACTTAGTCTATGTGATTGTATACATGTAAGCAAGGTTTGAAATGATTGTTTTAGTCAAATATTATATTTGTTTGGGCTTCTTGAGGTCAATTTGCAGTCTACAAATTATTTGTAATTATGTTCCGGCCCCCTGACCATCCACTCAAGAAAAGAAATCGGCCGGTGGCTGAATATAGTTGATGATCCATGATGTAAAGGTTACTAAGGCAGCGAGGCCCTCTAGTGGCTCATGGCAATACTTACAACCATATTATTTGGAATGTCTGTATCCTGAGAATGAGTGGAGTAGCCATCCACCGGTAAACACTGTTGTCCAATAATCTTTTCAAACCAAAAGAGGCTTTAGGAATATCGAATGGCACAGGATGTACTGTATCTTTAGAAATAGCCTGAATGGATGTAAAACAACTATATAATAAGAGTCCTCTGAAGAGGTCGCGACCGCGACCGGGAGACCCATGGGGCGGCGCACAATTGGCCCAGTGTCGTCTAGGGTAGGGGAGGGAATGGCCGGCAGGGGATGTAGCTCAGTTGGTAGAGCATGACGTTTGCAACGTCAGGGTTGTGGGTTCGATTCCCACGGGGGGTATAAAAAAAATTAAAAAAAAAAAATTAATAACAAACAAAAAATAATGTATGCACTCACTAACTGTAAGTCGCTCTGGATAAGAGCGTCTGCTAAATGACTAAAATGTAAATGTAAATGAAGAGGAAGGCCTGTTTCAAGAACAGAGAAAACCATCATTTGTACAAAGGAATACATAGCTCCTTCATTAAGTCAGCGTGTTATTAAGGTCTGTAATGATGAGAAGAGGGCTATTGTTTAGAGTGTGGGTGTCCATGTTTGAAATTCAGATGCAGTGGCTCTTCACTAATGTCTGAAGAGAGATTCACCCTCTTGTTTGCGTTGCCATTTGAATTTTATTCATGTGGACGCGAATGAAAATGGTCTCGTTTGAAAACCTATTAGTTGACTGTAGATTATGAAAATATTTTCAAAAGATGAACAAAAGAAAGGGATTTTATTGAGTATCTTAAATAGAGAACCACCATGCATGTAAGAAACAGAAGTAAACATAGAACTGAGGATGACATTCTTTATAGTCCTAACATTAATGTTGCTTCTGAGACCAAATCAAATCAAGCTTTTTTTTGGCCAATAGTATGTAATAGTAAGTAAAGCTGTGGAGAATGGCACCAGTTAATATTTGCGCTTAGAGAGACAGAGACTCCATTGGTAGGGAGCTGCTGCAATCTCCTTAGTTTGCCCCAATCTCTCACACCTGTCAGGAGGTAGGCAGGTGTTCAAACAAAGCCTCAATGCTACCACATCAGCCCCTAGGGATGCATTGTGGGAAGGGCCCGTAAGTAAGCAATTTCACTGTTAGTCTACACCTGTTGTTTACGAAGCATGTGACAAATAACATTTGATTGATATAACACGCATACATACACACGCACACACACATTCAAACACAAACCCATATCCTTGGCTTATACAGTGCCTTCAGAAAGTATTCATACCCCTTGACTTATTCCACATTTTGTTGTGTTACAGCTTGAATTCAAAATGAATTAAATTCATTTTTTTTTCACCCATTTACACACAATACCCCATAATGAAAAAATTAAAACATGCTTTTAGAAATGTCTGCAAATTTATTGAAAATGAAATACAGAAATATCTAGTTTACATAAGTATTCACACTCCTGAGTCAATACTTTTTGCAGCGATTACAGCTGTGAGTCTTTCTGGGTAAGTCTCTAAGAGCTTTCCAAACCTGGATTTTGCAACATTTGGCCATTATTCTTAAAAAAATTCTTCAAGCTCTGTCAAATTGGTTGTTGTAATTGCTAGACAATCATTTTCAGGTCTTGCCATAGATTTCCAAGCAGATTTAAGTCAAAACTTTAACTCGGCCACTCAGGAACATGCACTGTCTTCTTGGTAAGCAATTCCAGCGTAGATTTGGCCTTTAGGTTATTGTCCTGCTGAAAGGTGAATTTATCTCCCAGTGTCTGGTGGAAAGCAGACTGAACCAGGTTTTCCTCTCAAATTTGCTTGTGCTTAGCTCCAATTACAATTACAAACATACCCATAACATGATGTAGCCACCACTATGCTTGAAAATATGGAGAGTGGTACTCACTAATGTGTTGTATTGGATTTGCCCCAAACATAACACTTTGTATTCAGGACAAAAAGTTAATTACTTTACCAAATGTTTTGCAGTATTACTTTATTGCCTTGTTGCAAACAGGATGCATGTTTTGGAATATGTTTTATTCTGTACAAGCTTCCTTCTTTTCACTCTGTCAATTAGGTAAGTATTGTGGAGTAACTACAATGATGTTGATCCATTCTCAGTTCTCCCATCACAGCCATTAAAACTAACTGTTTTAAAGTCCCCATTGGCCTCATGGTGAAATCCCTGAGCGGTTTCCTTCCTCTCCAGCAACTGAGTTAGGAAGGACGCCTGTATCTTTGTAGTGACTGGGTGTATTGATACACCATCCAAAGTGTAATTAATAACTTCACCATGCTCAAAGGGATATTCGGTGTCTGCTTTTTTTTTACCCATCTATCAATAGGTGCCCTTTGCGAGGCATTGGAAAACCTCCCTGGTCTTTGTGGTTGAATCCGTGTTTGAAATTCGATGCTCGACTGAGGGGCCTTACAGATAATTGTATGTGTGGGGTACAGAGATGAGGTAGTCATAAAAAAAAATCATGTTAAACACCATTATTGCACACAGAGTGAGTCCATGAAAATGTGTACTCCTGAACTTATTTAGGCTTGCCATAATAAAGTGGTTAAATACTTATTTACTCAAGACATTTCAGCTTTTATTTTTAATACATTTGTACAAATTTCGAAAAACATAATTCCACTTTGACATTATGGGGTATTGTGTGTAGGCCAGTGACAAAAAAAGAATCAAAATGTTATCCATTTTAAATTCAGGCTGTACATTTTTTTGGGAAAAAGTAAAGGGGTGTGAATAATTTCTGAAGGCACTGTACTTGAATGGATGTATCATTAATGTTGTTTGTTTAGATGTCAATCATGTGTGTATTGTAAAGCCAAACTGTGTGGACAATAACGGCCAGGATTTTATTCAAGACACGTTATAGAGCAGCGCACTGGACAGCCGACAATGCGCCTTTTACAACCATTCACAGTATATGACCTTGTGCATGTGCCATGAAACTCACCCAGAACTTGACCAGGAAGAAGGAGTTGTGAGGGCCCTTTCCAAAAAGCTCCTTCAGTCCTCCCTTCTTCTCTGGGAACTTGTCGTATATCTGACGGATGTCCACAGCCTCCAGTAGGGCATCGCTGTACGAGTAGTTGGTCTGTCCAATGTTCACAAACAGGTACTGATGAGAGAGAGAAAACAACCAGTTTAGATAGATCACTTCTATTAGCATTATTTTAGGACTTCTCCATTACCCTAAGAGCTGGTTTCTCAGACACAGATTAAGCCTGGTCCTGGACTAAAAAGTGTTTTCAATATATAATCTCCATTGAGAATGCTTTTTAGTCCAGGACTATAGTTAATCTATGTCTGGGAAGCCGGCTCTAAAAATTCTTAACAAGGTCACTAGTTGGTTGTCATAAGAAAATCATATTAATATATCTTTGATGTCATGTAGGTTGATACATTGCTATGTTTTCATTTATAAAGCCCTTTTACAAAAAGTCCCACTGTACCTAACATCATTACTAAACTTTTGACATTTGAGCTACCACACCCAGTCTCAGGGATGGCTAACTCTGGAAATTCCTTTGGTCTCTACTGACTTCGGTAAATCAGCTTAGGGCTGTCCCCGACAAAAAAATAAAAATAAAATCTTGGTCGACCGAAAGTAGTCTGTTATTTCGACCAATCGATTGCTCAACATTTTAAAACGTGTATTTTTCCATATATAGACACACTATGTGTTTTAATTAAATCAACTATGTGCATTGATGCTTTAAGCTTACGTTTTGATGCCTCAAGAGGGTGCCAGAGATCTAGATAACAAGAAAAAAAAAAAAACTTAACCTGACCCAATTATTCTCCTCCCTCTCCTGCTGGCTTTCGCAGATTCTGCCATTACTCTCCTGAAGTTGCCGGTAATAGGCTACATGAGGAGTCGGCAACCTTTCTCATGTTAAATGCCAATTATCTTACCATTTCTACCGATCTCCTCGCCAGTTTTTGGTTTTCATATGCACATTTCATGAAACAGTTTCATTTAAATTTATAATAACGTCTTCATATCTCAAAATCAATGTCATGTGGTTAATCAAAATTCTATCAAAATCTAAATGAAAATGATACAAACCTAAAGAATAACATATTGCCATTGCAAACTATGTAATAAAGCCTACATAAATCCAACAAATAAATAAATATCCTATAAATCACATTGGCTACACATGGCCTGTCTGCAATGAACTTGAAACAATGTATCAACTATTAACTTGGGTCAGGCCCAAAGCTTCCACTAGCGAACTTGCAACATTGTATAAAATATTTGGGGCCCTCAGTTTCCTGCGCCAGTGAGCTCCGTACAGACACAGCTGTAGGCTATTTGCGCAAGGGATAAGAAGCAGTGCTTGACTTGGACAGGAGCTCACTGGTGCTGAGTACCAGCACCTCAAATGTTCTACTGCTTGAGCTGTTCCTCTTATAGAATATTAGCTCAAAAGTATTGTGGAGCTCCTCCACCTAAATATAGACAGTACCAGCACACAAAATGTATACCGGAACCTATATCAGTCCAAGTCAAGCACTGATAAGAAGCCTATTTTATGATGTTTCCACTGGATCAGAGCATTACATTTCTCCCTTTCACGCTGAGTGGTTATCAAAAGGGAGAGAGCTGGAAATATTTTTCAAATACATTGTAATTCTCAATGGATGTAAAAATAGACTTTGTTTGATTGCTTGTATAAAAATGTCCAGTTGACCATTATTTTGGCTACCATGGCTAGAAGAGATCTGTTATTTTGAAAGAGGGGTCTCAAAGGAGCATAGGGGATTTAAAAGGTGTGTGTGAACACTTATGGGAGATTCTGGTGTGGCGCCTGAGACAGCGTTTTCCACCACCATCAACAAAATGATGGAATTTCTCGTGGAAGAATGGTGTCGCATCCCTCCAATAGAGTTCCAGACACTTGTAGAATCTATGCCAAGGCGCATTTACGCTGTTCTGGCTCGTGGTGGCCCAACGCCCTGTTAAGACTCTTTATGTTGGCGTTTCCTTTATTTTGTTTCCTTTATTATGTTCCAGAATCACTTTGGTATTTGGAGGTATTCTGCTTTGTTTGTTTTACCTTCTTTGTCTGTGAGAGTGTGTGACGATATGCCCCAGTTTGAGGAAGTATGGTTGACCTCAGGAATCTGCACTAGTTTGGCCTGGTTTGGGATGCTGCCTGAGAAACAAGTACTGGTTTACCCAGGTGTGTTTTACTGTGTGTGGGAAGGAAGACAATAAGGCAGGTACTCACAGAGTCAGGATCTCTCTGCTGCTCCAGGAAGGCAGAAAACTCCACCAGTCTGAGTTTGGTGGTCCCGATGGAGCGTCCCTGCCAGGCGGGGGCTGTAGGCGTGGGGGGCTCGTACGCTGGGGGGATTACACACAACACTGTCACCTCACTATCCACCGTTTACTGACACTAACATCCCACCCCTTACTATCCAACACTCACTAACATGATACCCATTAGCTATATCACTAGTAGCATTAGCCATGTAACAGTATTAATGCCCTGGTAATAGGTGCCATTGGAGTTTATTTTGAGCGTTGGCCTACGATAAAGTGAAATGAGCTGATAGAAAAAGGGCGGATAGGGTAAAAGGGCTCCCTCACCTGAGATGGTGGTCGTTACAGCTGTCTGGATGGGGTAGGCCTGCTGGGAAAATGGCTTAATGCTGAAGATAAGACAGAATCAGGAAGTTGACCTGGTTATTGCAATAATACAAAAAATTAACTAGCTAGATAAGTTATGTAAATCTAGCTAACAAATTAGTGAAGTCATTACTTAATCATCTTATATTATCAATAACAAGACAGACACATTAGGACGACTTACTCTTGTGAGGATCCAGGCTGTCCAGTGGATATCATACCCTGCCAAAACTAGGGAAGAGTAAATGAATGGACAATCAGGACAGCACAATGCACATAAAGTCAATTGTTACGAGATATGTGTGTTTAGTGAGGGGTGTCTTACCCCTGTCGCTCCAGGGAAGGTGGGTCTTGGGAGGCCCAGCTTGTTGTGGATGGCGGTGGCAGAGACGATCTGAGCCGAGGACATGGAGGCCATACTCTGCAGTGCCTTGTCTTTCACACTCTGGTCCTTCAGCAGAACACAACACAATGACTCAGAGTGGTGGGCCAAAGAACAAGCAACAACAACCAAACACACACACACACACATATACAACCTCCCCCCCACACACACAATCAACAGAGCTCTTTACAATGACAAAGGAGAAGACATGGATTATTTGAGCAGACCACAGTATCACCAAGGTCACCTTTATGCCTGAAAATAATGTGCTTTTAAGAGTACAGAATTATATTGCTCTTCATATTTACAGTGGGGGAAAAAAGTATTTAGTCAGCCACCAATTGTGCAAGTTCTCCCACTTAAAAAGATGAGAGAGGCCTGTAATTTTCATCATAGGTACACGTCAACTATGACAGACAAAATGAGGAAAAAAAATCCAGAAAATCACATTGTAGGATTTTTTATGAATTTATTGGCATATGATGGTGGAAAATAAGTATTTGGTCAATAACAAAAGTTTCTCAATACTTTGTTATATACCCTTTGTTGGCAATGACACAGGTCAAACGTTTTCTGTAAGTCTTCACAAGGTTTTCACACATTGTTGCTGGTATTTTGTCCCATTCCTCCATGCAGATCTCCTCTAGAGCAGTGATGTTTTGGGGCTGTCGCTGGGCAACACAAACTTTCAACTCCCTCCAAAGATTTTCTATGGGGTTGAGATCTGGAGACTGGCTAGGCCACTCCAGGACCTTGAAATGCTTCTTACGAAGCCACTCCTTCGTTGCCCGGGCGGTGTGTTTGGGATCATTGTCATGCTGAAAGACCCAGCCACGTTTCATCTTCAATGCCCTTGCTGATGGAAGGAGGGTTTCACTCAAAATCTCACGATACATGGCCCCATTCATTCTTTCCTTTACACGGATCAGTCGTCCTGGTCCCTTTGCAGAAAAACAGCCCCAAAGCATGATGTTTCCACCCCCATGCTTCACAGTAGGTATGGTGTTCTTTGGATGCAACTCAGCATTCTTTGTCCTCCAAACATGACGAGTTGAGTTTTTACCAAAAAGTTATATTTTGGTTTCATCTGACCATATGACATTCTCCCAATCCTCTTCTGGATCATCCAAATGCACTTCAGATGGGCCTGGACATGTACTGGCTTAAGCAGGGGGACACGTCTCGCACTGCAGGATTTGAGTCCCTGGCGGCGTAGTGTGTTACTGATGGTTGGCTTTGTTACTTTGGTCCCAGCTCTCTGCAGGTCATTCACTAGGTCCCCCCGTGTGGTTCTGGGATTTTTGCTCACCGTTCTTGTGATCATTTTGACCCCACGGGGTGAGATTTTTTAATGAAAAGCATATGTATTTGTTTAAGCGTGGGTTAATGGGTTGCCTCACTGCCATTTGAGTGAAAGAAGCCTTGGGAGAGGATGAGCATGCTGGCAAAGACGATGCACTGAGATGGCGCAGGGTGGATACGCAGTAGCTGCTGGTGATAGATACACACAGGACATACATTACACAGTACATAGGCCTTCCGCAGCAGAACACAACACTATGGATCTACGAGCAGGGACACCTTCACATCCAGCTGTACAGACGGCCCTGAAGCACAGCCAACAGTACAGTATTTTGAGGGTGGTACTTACCATACATGTGACCTGAATGCAAAGAGATAAGAGGTTTTACTCTTACAGCCCACTTGTCATCACCTGTATACTTTGCTATTTGGACAAGACTAACTAGTGTCTGTATTACAACAAAGGATGATGATGATGATGATGTTCAGATTGTTAGAGATGAAATGGGAGGTATTGACATTGGCCATGCAATCTGGCCTGCAAGCCAAACAGCTTCAGTGTTAAATGATGATAAGGTCTAAGCTGCTCATCTACTGTACAATCAATAGCAAACATGTCTTGCCAGCACACTGCCTTCATTGGCTGTCAGTAGCTTGCTGTCCTAACATCATGCACTGACAATATTGTGCAATCTATATTTATACATCTAAAAAAATTACATTCCAGTATTTTCTTGCAAGTTGATGGAAGAAATTTGCATTGTACAACACCTTGTTTAAATATGAAATATGATGAAACTGAACATACAATTAAATCCTTGATCAGTGACAAAGAGTGAAGAACTAACACATTGCAAAGACAGTTCAGTTCCGCTGAGCGAGTGTATTCTTTTGTTAGTTACAGGAAGCAATAAGCAACAGAGCACCAAACAGGGGGAAGTGTGGGACTAGCCCATCGAATGCTAAACAGGAATATCAGATGTGAGGAATCTAAGATACAGGAGTCACAGCATCAAGCATCCCACCTGTCACCACGGCAACAGAAACAGGAAGCTACACAAACAGTGCAGTAAGCAGTAGCTCTTACCTTCAGCTTGGTGTGAAACTCCCGAGATTTCCGTCTGGCAAGAACCTGAATGTGACTGGAGACCTGTTGGGAGGGAGACAAGGGAACAGACGGTTACCATGGAGATGAAAAGAAAGCGGCCTAAAACCCGCCACTGGGGGCACACACTCCCCCCTTGACAACTGCTGCAAGCGCCCTGTATCCCTCCATCTTTCTCTAAGATTCTACAGTGAAAAGTCACCTGTGGTCTTTTGACATCAAGTGCTAAGCATCATGCAAAAAATGTGTTTTGATTCTCCTATGCATAGCAACACAGCTCAAAGTGTCTGAGTTCGGCCAGTGGTGTCAGATGACCTGCCCTCCAGCACCCTCTAAGGGTCTCTGCAGCCAAGAGGAGGGACTCCGATATTTTGGGCTCGAAGACAGCGCCATTGGCCACGCCCATACCACGCCCCCCCCTTGCCACCCAAAAAAAATATGGGAAAGACAGTCCTCTTACCTGCTTTCTTGTCCTTGTCTTTCCTGTTCTTAGTTTGATGTATCTTGCTATCAATTCATTGCGACCTGAGGGAAGAAACAAAGCACTAAGGTTAGAAAGACAGCAGTCTGTGTGTGTAGGTAGTGGCCTCCTGACTTTTATGTCCACTCCAGACAGGTGTGTGTGGAGGGGGCCTGGTGGGTGAGACTAACCCTAATCCTCGTTCACTTGGAGGGGACCATTGTGTTAAGGCCACACGGACCGGCGGACAACATGTGACCTCGGCCGAACAAACAGCATCTGGGGGATTTAGTGGTGTGACCACGCACCCAGCATGCCCGCACTGTAATCTCCTGCCGCTCATGCTGGGGCCTCCCTACTCTCAATCGTGTACACATAACATGACAATATGGGCATTCATGCAGACGCCCAATCCCCAGATCAAGGGCCCCAAAACGGCCAGCTGTAAGCATGCTTACTGCTGAATTATTCATTCTTTTCACCAGCTTGCAAACACGCTCAGCAGGACTTGGCAGGCGCGCTAAACAAGAGAGAGGGAGCGAGAGGGTGAAGGAAAGAGAGAGGGAGGGAGAGACAGAGAGAGGTACGGAGGGAGGGAGGGAAGGAGAGAGAGAGAGAGAATTAAAGACCCTCAACCTAACAGACCAACCCAGAAAATCCCTCCCCCATGATACTCATAAGATAGCCCACTATGAGTTGAGTAAGCTAATCTCTATTTTCAGAGCTAGACAAAAAGATTGCACTGCCAGAAGAGAGACAAGAGAGAGAAGGTTCTGCACTGATGGACATTATTATAGTCAAAAGTTTAATTATGTTTCAGAGGTAACACTGCTCTATTTCGCTCAGCTTTCTTCTGAACCCTTGTTCAAAACCAGGTCCATCACAAATCCCTGCTGTGCTTGTTTTCTCTGTAAAACCAGGTCCATCTGCTGTGCTTGTTTTCTCTGTAAAACCAGGTCCATCTGCTGTGCTTGTTTTCTCTGTAAAACCAGGTCCATCTGCTGTGCTTGTTTTCTCTGTAAAACCAGGTCCATCTGCTGTGCTTGTTTTCTCTGTAAAACCAGCCAATTAATCTCATTACTGCATGTGAAACAAACATTCAAATGAGTTTTCTCTGAAACATCTTATAACAAATGCCTTGCAAATCCTTCAAGCAAATATCAGCCAGACAATATCTCCTTTCATGATCCCTGAAAAGCAGGGGAAACGGTGATGAACATCTTGGAGCCTATTCCTAGCAGTGCTAGACCAGAATGCAATGGTCTACAAGTACTACTGTAAGGGTGTGATGTTTAAACGTCTAAACGAATTTGGGATCGTTAACGTTTGGAAAAAATCCCTAACCTTGATTTTACAAAATTTAAATCACAGTGCAGTCATCACAAAACTACCACTCACAGATTGGTCCTGACCATCACATCATCATAAAGGCAAAACCATTTTTTAAACAGAAACCCGGCCCTGATGGAGAAATTGTACAATGACTGCTCTGCAAGTACAAAGTGCAAGCTATCAAACACCATACGTGGTGGCATTAACAACAGATTGTTGGACATCTATGAACACGCTGTCATACATCACTGCAACGAGCCATCACATTGATGAGAAGTGGGACGTTAAGTCCCATGTACGGACAACTGAGAACATGGAGGAGAGGCACACAACAGAGAACCTAAAACGCTGCCTGGTAGGTAGCCAGGACTGCGGTAGATATAATTGCATTGCCCCCTAGCGGTCATACTGTGTGCGACGAATTGTGAATTCACTTAATTTTATGTTGCTTTTTTAATACGTTTAAACGAGAGAAAACATGGCAGTTTAAACTTTTAAATGTTTTACATTTGTTACAGCCCTATACTACAGTATAGATTGGAGTTAGGGTTAACAAGTTGGAGTTGTGAGTTCAGTGGGTCGACGAGGTTGGTGTGTGGGTCGGAGATGTTTGACAATGTTGGGTTGGAGGTTAGATCTCTCATTACTCTGGTTTGCCTGATCAGTAGACTGCTGCAGTGCCACTTGACAGCTGATGGTGTGTGTGTGGGCAGTTCTGTGTTCCACTGACCAGGCTGATTGGTGGAGCAGGACACTGACCCACTGTGACCCGGCCTCAGCCCTACTGATTAAAGCCAGGGGGTAGAGGTCAGGGTTCAGAAACAAAGGGAAGAAACACAACACCACACACACAACATAACCAGAGAAAGGTACTTTATCGTGACCCACCATTTCCAACTGACACATTCCAGAGAGCTTGATGTCTGTAGGTGATATGCGTCAAAGCGTTATTATTTTAGTTGGTAACAGCATTAACAGCACGTCTCTTAGCTGAGATCTTTTTAACGCTCTCACTTCCTTCCCGCACGGACCACACTCCCACGAGGCTCTGCAGTAGAACACGGTGATGTCCGAGGACCCCAGAGAACACTCTGGCATTCTGACAACATGAGGATCACTTATACACCCTTCATATGGCTTTACCATTAAACCTTCCTCCATACATTTCTATTGCCAAGCAATATGAGCTGTTTCCAACATCGTAACAATAGATTTAAAGGCATTTCTCAGAGATGTTTCCAAGTGTCATCGTGAATCACAGCCATCAGGAAAGACGACTGTGACTTGGCCTGTTCCTGACTTTAAACAAAGTTGTGAAAAACTTAAATGGCATGAAAACCAAATAATGTATAGCCTTTACAAATAAATATTGAACCAATGAAAGAAGCTGCCCTCAGTATTGTACTGTTCCATCCTTTTGCTGCATGTTGCTGTCAAGGTAGGGAGGCTAGCAACTTCAAACGTATCAAAAGTATCGACTCCCAACATTACAAATCACAAAAATATGTCCATGTACAACAAAATACCTTGTTGACTCTTGGTCCAGTGCTCTAACTTGTCACAGCCAGGCACCCTCCTTCCATAGCTCTCTGATTAGCCCATATTTACACAGCGACCGGCGACCTAATCCTTTCCGCTCTTTACTCCCCCTTCCCAGAATGCACTGGGCCCCAGGCAGGCCCCTGTCTCCCGGCTGAGCGGAGTGAGTGCAGGAGAGACCCAAATCCTCCGGACAATAGCCTAGCTGTCCCGCCGGCCATGATGGATGTCTCAAGGGTCTCAGGCTTGCATTAGCATCACAAAGGCCTAAAGCCAGCCTTTCAGTGGGAGGTCCCTGGCTGGTTGGGGAGGGATGGGGGAGACGTGAGAGAAGCCCTATAACTACTACGTCCTGGAACACTACCATGGCTAAAGTTGCTGTATCTTTACTCCAGTCAATCTCCATCCCCTGGGCGCTGTCTGGTCTGGCCTCCATATTTTCACACACAAACACAGAGGGCTATCTTAGGGTGGGGTATGGTATAGGAATAAAACAACCACCCATGTGATAAGAGACCTTAAAGCTTCAGAAACCAACTACGTAGGTCCTATGGTTAATATGAAACAGGTGACCAACAAATGGCAACTTAAGTTTGTTAAGATATTATGTTTTTGTATTGTATCTAAAGAGGCTGCAATGTCACAGGCATGCAAACTGTAAGATAAAAAACTAAGGAACAAAAATACTATTACTTCTGGACCTGTTAACCCTGAATGGAAATAGACCTAGAGTTGTGAACAAAAGCTCTAGCCTTGGCCCTGTGTCCCTAAACCAGATGGTGCTGCTCTGACCAATCCCTTAGCTTGGAGACAGGGAGCTTAGACTGATACGATCTATAGCTCTAATGTAGGTGTTTCCCTCAGAGCAGTCAATTGGTGCAGCCGTAAATCCCACACACACACACACGCACGCACGCATGCGCACGCACACGCACGCACACACACACACACACACACACTCCTGGCAGACTGACATCTGACTCCATCCCCGACCAGCTGCCCATTGTAGATCTCTTAACACGGTACATTATGATCACCCAGCACCCCCCCCCCACCCCACTCCCATTTAGAGAATGGGCCAGAGAAAGACTTCAAGGCCAAAGTCAGATGGTCTGAAGCTGTGACGATGGCTTCTCTCATTATCAACATAGCCCTTCAGCCCTCCCTATGGACACCTCCACCAATCACAACACACTTCCTCATACAAAAGGAGCCACTGGTTAGCCAAACACACACATGAGAACAAATTAATCAAATAAAATGTTATTTGTCACATGCGCCGAATACATCAGGTGTTGACCTTACCATGAAATGCTTACTTACAAGCCCTTAACTTCCCTCATGCAATCTGGGAATATCAAACATCACTTGCTGCTCTAATTGCTCATTTGGGGAAACCTTAGAACAGTAATGCACATACGTGTAAAATGAAAGGCAGAAACATTCCAAAATGGTGATTAAGGCATGCTGTTGTATGCATGCTGTGATTTTGAGGATGTTTGTTTATAGAACCATTTCCATTTCAGTGGTACTTCCAGACCACATGGTTTCAAAGTCAGATTAATGCATTACATTTAGGAAGGCTGCAGTACAGCAGATGCTGGTATCTTCCACTCACAATAAAGTACTTCAGTGGTTTTAGAATGACTCCAAACTTCAGCTTCAGCCCAGTCTATGATGAACTTGGAGTATACCCTGAAGAGGCCACAGACCACATCCTGGTTTGGCATTCATCGCAATTTTCAAAATTAAAAAGCCTATGTGTGTGTGTATGTGTATGTGTGGGTGCAAAGTATATATACAGCAGACAGGCGCTCTAAGAAAACCACATTCCTTCTCTCCCAAACTGTGGTCTTCTACTTCTACTCATGACCCATCAGACAACAGGTAAGGCGTGAGTGTCAGTGTGAGTGAATGGTGCTGGTTGGTGCAGCCGTTGATTGTTTTTAATGGGACTAATTAGCCATGCTTCCTGTGTGTTGTGGCTTCTCAGTTTTCTGACAGAGGCCTGGATGGAAATATTACACCAGCATGCTGGAAATCACACATGGAAACATCGAAACATCCTAATGTGACCTCCCTGCAGGCCTCACGCTGCCTGATGAATGTGTTTACCTTTCAAGGTTTACTTCAACCAAAAATAATGTACTGTATATCATACATTATTAGTCAATTAGTCTAAACAAATACTGTACAGTGATGGAGAGAGAGCGAAAGAGATCGAGCGAGAGTTGTGACCTCTCACATATTCTCCTCCCATCTCAATGACACTTTCTGTCTCTGTGTGGGCCTTCCAAGTACCATGTATCTATCAGGTCTTTCAAAGGGACAAATTGTCCCTGGAATAAGAAGGGAGTTTAACACAACGACCTACAGATGAACAGCTAGTGCTCTTTTATGACACACACATGCCTGTAAGGAGAGAGGCTCTGTTTGGAACACGTTCTACCTCTGAAGGCCACGGAGTCATTAGTAACAAACAATGATGTGCCAAGAGCCTCTTTCACTCCATTTTACCTTGAAAGGAAGACAGAGAATACCACAGCCTATTGGAACGCTGAATAACAATATCTATGCCTTTTGTTTCAATGATTATTGTATGAAGATCTGTTTCTAATTCTGTTCATGTAAAAATGGCGGGTCTTTGTATGTCATGATATTGATATTTCTGTTTCATCACCGTGCGAGTATGAGACGACAGGCACAGGTATGCCCTGCATGGTCACAGCTTACACCCCTCTGGAGGAACGCAGGCTCACATTACTGCAGCATTCTGAACTATCCTCTTCCCACCAATGGCCATACATTTGATTTTTTAAGAAACAGTGGAGGTCTTGACTGTCTTTCTCTTCCAATAACAATGTATTTAATATGAAAGTACAGTCTTTGTTACAGTACAGCAGCAGGCATCTCCGAGTCCCTGATTCAGGGTTGGAAAGGTAAATGTTTCAACCAACACCACAACACACCCGGAACATTATAATGCTTCTCTAGGGCACACCTCAAACAGTTTTGTCGCCTTACAATTCTCCATACATTTCCCCAGCACTTTTAATTTAAATTTTACAGACCGTCAATAACACTCCCTGACCTCCATTGTGCATAGTCAATAACCTGCCTTTCTTGCAGGACAAAGTCATGTCGCACCACTCTAAGGTAGTAAAATTACTGATAGTAAAATCACAGCTCGCCTACCTAAAATTACCCTTCCCAAAATATTCACACCACAAAAGACAACTCTCCTCTACTCATAATGCAGAAAATACAGCTGTACTATTTTGACTTATTTTACACAAAGCCTGTGCATCCATTTATAGCTGAGTAGTAAAAAGACTTTGAGAAGTGCAATTTCAGTGTGTTGAAGATAAAATGTGTAGATCGTGCTATTTACTCTCTCTAAGCATTATCTTGGCTCTCTAAGACGCAGGATAAATTGTATGGGAAATACATATAGTTTACAGAGAGGAGAACTCTGTGAAGCTGTTCCTCAAGGTGAGGAACAGGTGGGTCTTTCCCACAATGCCATTCAGGTCCATGCCAGGGAGAATGACAGTGGCTCAGTGCCAATACCAACTCTGCCCGCACCACAGAGCTAATGTACTGTAGAGAGCAAGCTGGCATGGGCGTCGACGAACAGACAGGCAGTCCACTAGCTGTTTGTAACACGATTTAAAACAATCTCTTTGAGACTCGAGGACATTACAAAAACTCAACTTAAACTGCTAGCATTTATAGTTGTATTATTACTAATACAGCACTAGGCCACAACTATAAAAGCTAGAAGCTGAAGTTGAGGCTCTGTACTGTTCTCATCCTATAGTGAAGTATACTGTAATGTTACATGTTACTGTAGCTCCTTGACGTTGTATGTACCATACTGGGAGGATAGCCTGAAGGAAACCCAGACCCCAGGAAGACTCAGACCCAGGCCCAGGCCACCCCAGCATGCTTCACCATTTCCCTGAGGGCACGAGGACTGTATGTCTCATCTCATACTGGGCATGTTGGCAGCTTGGATGCACAGGATCTTATCCACAATAGCTAGAAGGTAGAGATGAGATATTCTCATGTAAACCAAATCAATACTCACTAGTACACAGCTTCCCATCCCTCGTTTATAAACCTTTTTTATTTTTTTAATCATTAAAAGTTAGCTAGTCGTTGGTGACAGTGTCAATGCACTGGATTTTACATGTAAAATATCTCTGAACTTAAGGGCCAAATCCAGTCACTACCTGCACCTCAGTCACTACCTCTCCAGAAGCAGAGGGGGTAAATGGCCATGTCACTAATGGTGCTAGCTACATACTCCAGCCTGCTTCTGCTCTGCTCTCTCCTCCAGCTAAGCCATGCTGGGAATATTTGGCCTGGCCAACAGAGAGACAGCAGATTGCAACGGTCTAATGATGATGAGGCATCATGACAGGCCTCTCCACTCTTGGGATAAATGGTGGCAGAATGGAACCACAGCAGAGGCCTATCTGCTCCTCATCTAACCCAGCAGGAGATTGTCAATACTATTTAAAAACACAGATTTCTCTCTAGAGTTAATCGCTCTG